AGCCTATTAATCCGCGGTATATCTAAATACGCATCATCCTGCTTCTCACAGAATATTACAGAATTACCACGTTTTAAAGCCACAGGAAGATCCAAATTACCAGTCAAGGTTCTTTCGACGTCTCTCTAGAAGTCCTTAGCAACAGTCGGATCGACAGTTGTATCAGCCATGCAGGATATTTATGTTGCGATCCAAAATTGCAGTAAACGATCATTTTAGAATCGTCAGGCAATTTCGGGACGCGATTTTATTACCGCGTTTTTTGGAGGTTTATATTTATTTCGGTATTAATTTCCTTTAATCACATGCGCTGGATGTTCCGCACAATAAACCGGAAATCTCATGCAGTACCGCGTTTACCGAGGATGCAGTTCGCTTCGGTGTGATGAGCGCTCCCCCCCTTACGACGAATTTAATATTCCTACATTTTATTGCGAGCACGCGTGAGTCACTGCACGTAATAATGAGGCATTACCGCGGCGATAAGTAAAAAGAATCGCTCTGTCTAACCGCTCATTTATTCCCCGCGACGGGAAATGCAGCCGAGTGCACGCTGCAATTTCCGTGCACTTTCACGAATGTCCACTGTCGAGTCAGTTGTCAGTTCACGCATCAATCCCCGCGATTAAGGTTCGGTAACGGAATGACTTTATTTTCGCTCAAAATCAAATATTTTTATTAATCGTGAATTTAATAAAATATGCACCGAAAGTTAAAAATAATAAAAATAATATATAATCATAAAATAATATATAAAATAATATAAAATAATATAGAAAAATAATATAAAATAATATATAAAAATAATAGTATTGTTTCTATTAAAGCTTTTATATAACAAAGTATATAACATTTTTCGGCGAATGACTGTACTCTCATTGAGAGAAAGCAGATTCAAGGGATCTGTCTGATTCATTCAAAAATTAGTGGCGACATGTGAGCGTATCGTCTAAAAATATTACCGGTGGGCCGAGGTGCGCCTAGCAACAGAGGCTGCATAGAAGCATAACTACAGTGAACGCGCGTGTTTCTACGTCGTACCGCAACGAGGACACGGGACGTGAAAAAAAGAAGCCGCGGAGATATAGACATCGCGATCCATGTGGTATCCTCGACTATGATTTCTACAAGTAATCGTCTTATTATTTCTCCGACTATCGTTTAAACTTCATAACATGAATGATATTGAAATATAGAAATATATATTGAAATATATATTTAATTTTATTAGAAAAATTTCCTTCAGAAATTTAAGCCTTTTTCAGATTTTATTATAAAATTGTCTAATTTATAAATTACTAAATATTTAATGAAAATTTAAATTAGCTTAAACTAGCACATTGGATTCTTGTAAAAATCAATTAATTTATTATTACAATATATTATTGTCGACTCTAGCATTATGTAATACGATATTGCATAACGTTGTGCTGTTGCTGAAATTTTAAGAAAACCGCATAATTATAAAATTGTAAAAAAAAAAAAAATAATGAACTGCCAATTGAGATGCAAATTGATCGCCCAATTAGGATCGCGCACGTTGAAATTGTGGATATTTCGTATGCAACGTATCGATACTTTTCGCACCAATGACCTCCAGTCAGTTTGTGTTAATTTACTTGCAAATTTGGTAGCTGCATTTTTACCTTGCACTTTATGACGTTCGTACGTGCCGTTTTAAACGTCAACAGGCAGCCTTCTCGCAAACAAAACGTTCGAACTTGCTAATTGCATTCGCGACGCAACTGCAATATATCATCATAATTGATGTAAGCGATAGTTTTTATTGTTTGATTACAATTATATTCAAACACTTAACATTGACGTATGTAAAATATTATTTGAACACGTTTAAATCATCTATTGCGTGCATTATATATTTATAATTAATCTTAAAAATAAAGGATAAATTACATTTTGAAATTTGTGCATTTGAATATGCATCTTCAGTAAAATACTAATAATTTTTTAGATAACGAATTTAGAGGTAAAAAAAAAATAAATTTTTAGAATTCAGCTTTTATGTTATTCTCATAAAATATATTTAACGCGTGCGCGTATTTACTTGTCATCTATCGTTATTAATATCTTCGGAGATATTTAGTTTTTTTTTAATATTTGGCGTATTTCCTTTTATCTTTGTAAGATTTTTTTTGTTAGCATCTTCGGAAAAAAATATATCGCGTTAACGCATATTCTATATTTTTTCTTTAGATTAATATGATACGATGTACATTGGCATTGTTAGTCAGGTTCTCCTTGTCAGACGAATTCGACCGTTACAACCGCAAAATTGATCCCTGGGCAGCGACTGAACGAAGGTGAAACAAAATCACTTACCAGCGAAGCTTCGCAAGCACCTGTCCTGAATTATCGGGAACAAGCTCTTTTAGTGCATCTCTGGTCGCGCAGCTGCACTTGTCATGATTTTCCTTAATCGTCCGATTTGCAAGGTTTTTATGGTAAAGGAACAGAAACCTGTCAAACCATTAACTCTCTAGATTTCTCGTTGCACACAAATCAAAAGACTTTTTTTTGTGAATCTTTACAAATAATGCAAGAAAGAAAGTAATGCAAAAAACGTGATACGAAAAAGTATTCATATTCAGGTATTTTAATTCGTAATAAGATGATAGAGTTCTGACAAAAAGATGCGACATTTTAATGGAAGTATTTTTAAACAGAGCTTGAAATAAAAACTAACATTTCGACTGTAAAAATGGTATTAATTAAAAGTTATTTGGATGTGTAAAAGATAAAAGGATTTGAGAAGAGAAAAAATCAACTTTATAGATAGATCTTTTTTTAATAAACAATTGGAGAGACAATTTACTTATGTTAGTTAGTTAGTTTTTTAGACTCTCTTATAGTTACAATTTTTATATAATTATACATTATATATATTTATATATATCTTTATATAATATTGTCGTTACACATATATCATTTTATATCGCGGAGTATCGACTGAATATGAGGCATGATTCACTGGGTATTCTTTCTCTTTTTCTACTCTCTCTCTCTCTCTCTTCTCATTTCATTCTTCAGTCTCTGCAAGACTCATACATACAACACACGCACACAACAAACACACATATTCACAAAGTACCACGAATCATCGATTCTCTTATCCGTGAATTCTAATTTTTATACTTTATAACGTGACATTTTTCAAATGTCCTGTCACAACTCCTTGTTCTATCGCATATACATATATATTTAATTATCATAGATAAGAAGTACATGCTAAGTTATGTTTACTGAGATCATACTAATACATCACAGGGTTACATAGACGTAAGATTTTTCTCTCTTTATTGTTTTTTTCCGAGTTTTCTTTGACGGTAGGCACCAAGCAGCGTCGCGAGTTTCTCAGATCTTACGAGATTCCAAGATTGTCAGGTCTCTTTTCTGTTTTTTAATCCGACGATGGCATCTTTAGACATAAAAGATCTTTCATTTTTTTATTTTAATATGTCACCGAAAATGACATTGTTCGCTAAAATTAAAATGATCACGCTTAGTAAGAAAAACTGGTTATTTTATTGTCATTTTTTTTTCGCGAAATGGAACATATCAATATGTTACACATATTCCAGGGTACCATTGTCAAATTAAATTCACTTGTCTTTTTTTGACGATTGCTGCATGTATGTCGATCGAAATCGCGAAGTGCCACGAATGTATAATCAATGATAATTTAATTATTCAATGATTATTCAATTTTCGACTGTTATATGAATTTTGTGAAATTCTGAACATTTTTTTTTTCCCCGTACAGAGGGAAATAAATATTGCGATCAATATATATATCTTTAAATTTTTGATTTATGAAGAGAGAAGGAGAGAGGGAGGAAAGAGAGGAGAGAGAGAGAGATTTATATTTTTAACTCTTTCTCCCACATTTTCGATATTATGATATGGACTTTGAAAAAATACATAGCTTGTAACCACCAGTCGTATTTTTGGGCTATAATCTCAAAAAGGAAATGGCGAGCGGGAAAATATCAGGAGGAGCAAAATAGTGGGGTATTTTATGAGGACCGCTTTAATGGGATATTGATAAACAAAAAAGTCGTGTATGATAAACAGCTACCATTATAAAAATCAGTTAAGAATATATATAGCTAATATTACGTTTTATAAATTCGTTGGCGTTGAACGAAGTAAACGTTCACTTTACAATATGCAATTTTTTAATTATGAAACGCTTAATTCGCTCAATCTCAATATAAAACAAGAAAATTTTCTTCGCAATTATTCACAACAAAAATGAAATCTGCAATTTATTAACCTTTTGTTGGACACTTAAAATTTGATTTTCCGATATTAACACTTTTTTCTTTTTAATTTATATATATCATACTATATATTCTATAAAATATTATATATTACCATGTATATAATATGATAATATATATGAGAGATTTTTTATTTATGATTTTATATTTATATATCGTTATATATAATGATATGGCCAACAAAAAATTAATATTTACGGTTAATTTAACATTTTTGTCAGAATATTATGAGGGTCTTCGAGTACCTTTTTAAGATTAGAGAAAGTTAAATGTTTAAAAAAAAATCTTCCTATTGGTTTTATATTTATCAAAAATGGAAGTGTTCAAAATTATAAGTTTTCATATAAATTGTTACATTTATTTAAACTAATATTGAAATGTAGAAAATAATAAAACTGAAAAATTGTCTGAATAAATTTCCGAGAATATATCGCAGCAAAAAATCAAGCAATTTAATTTGATAGAATCATGTAAAAATATTAAATATTTTTATGTCGAAATTGTAATTCGTAAGATAAAAAGATTGCTGATAAAAAATATAACTAAGGAAGAGTTCTTCTTTTAAAAGCTGCGACTTTATGACGATTATATCTCTCGCATTAATTTGTCATAAATAAACGCGATGTAGGACAAAGAAGGGATTGGGAGAGGATGATGGATCTTTTTTTCAACAGGTAGAGAAGAAAAAAAATCGTAGGATGATTTGGCATCGGCTGTACTTTCTTAAAGTCGTACAGGAGATCAATGCTTAAACTTGGGTAACGAACTACAGCTAAATCATGTTTTCTCTTCTTTCTTAAAACTGGTCACATTCTGATACTTTCCGGAGTCGCAACCACTCTTTTGAGCTTCTCCTCATATTTTCGCCAAACCATATATCCAAGTCGAGAAAATTCAAAACAAGTGCTTGTGAATCTTTAATTTGGAAATTGCAAGTTGCTTCGATATTGCACGCATTTCAAGAATGTAGTATCGAAATTGGCGCAATATCTATCGCAAAGATCTGCTTCCTAATAAGATTCTAAAATCTCCTCAGTTATTCAGCAAAGGAAAATCCGTCGTTGAATACTTGAGGAAATTGATACGCAGTCACGAGTCCCAAAAATCCATGGACCAGCTTAAATATCCGATTCTTTCGATCCAATGAATACGCGCGATATCTCTCTCTTATATCTTAGAAGCTAATAAACTAACTCCTATGAATAATCTAAACTATATTTCGTAGTGCTTCTCTCTTTCTTACAGTATTTTTTTGTGTGTAACGACATTGCTTAAAGATTTTTCTATGAATGTCTCAAGAAACAAACGTATATATTACATTAATTAATTTGGACACAAATCATTACTCTATATCTACAATCTAATTTTCATATTCTTAACATTACTTATATTCTTATCCTAATACAAAAAAAAGATATGACATGTTCCATAAAAAAATAGCGACGAGAGAGAGCTATTTAGGTCTCTCTCTTCTTCCATCAAGCGCGTCCTCTCTCTTTTTCGCTTTTCTTCTATTTATTTAATTCTGTTTTTCTCGTCTCGCGTCTATCTTCGCTGTTACTATTGTTTCCGTAATTCTCGCGATATTACAAAGCAGTGAATTACAGAAAAGGATGTACATACGTGATGAAAAATGATGTTGTTTCTTAGCTTTTTTTGTTCATTTTTTTTTTCCTTGTTAATTCATCTATCTCTCGATCTGTTTCGTCTGCACTCATGGTAGATAAAACTATACGAATGGCACAGCCAACGCAAACCTCGCGCCTCCTGCCGGAGTTCCCCTTTCTCCGTTATTCCTTTCGGCGATGCTGTTTCCCGCTTCTGGTATTGTCTCACGTCGCGCACGAACGAAATGGAAGAAGACGCCAAGGCTTGAACAAGAAAGCTGAAGGTTTTAGCTGCGTATCTGACCCGCGTTACGGGCAATCTTCTCCGGCGACTCTATCATACTCTTTGTGGTGCCGTTCAAGCCGCGCTTACGCGTCTTCATAAAGTCTGGAACAGATAATGGAAAAAGCATATTTTTATATAAACCGATGCGAGTACGACGAAAGAATATATATAATCGAAAATGAAATATTTATTCGCTAATTGAAATATTTAGTCGTTTTTTAGTAATGTTGAATTTTAAGACAATCGAAAATTTCTTATACATTTTTATTAAGTATAAAAAAATTTTTCTCCCTTCATTTGAAGATATTTCAATTGCATAATAAACGTATAAAAAGATAATTTATATCTTATAGATTTTACAATAATTTTGCAGTTAGGCTAATCCTATCAGGAAATGCTAATACAATTGAAACATAAATATTATTAATTATTATATATAAACATTTTTTATATTTTTATTTGTACTCCATTTGAAAATGAGATAGAGTATCTTAAAAGGCATCTGGTGAATAACGCGAGCAATTCACGGCTTATCTTCGACTTTGATTTCTTATATGTAATCGCATGCAATGCCAGACTTGACCTTATGCACAATCCGGCTTGCTAACGACCGTATGTGCATGCGAAATCTTTCTTCTGATAACCTTGAGAATATAATATCGACGCACCGCGTCGCTAATTATATCAGTGAAAGATAAGAGCGTGAGATCAGGATTTTATATTGTTTTTGTTAATCGTTTTACGCAGTTCTAACTTCTAGAGATATATTTTTAGTTGTTTGCCATGAAATAAATATTAAATTATTCTTTGATGAAATATCATAACGAATATTCAAGAGATAGAACCGCTTGAATGATGTGAATTAAATTTTAATCGTGTATAAAATTCTAAATTTTTTATATAGTGTTTTGTATTAGATGATTTAGTTTGAAGTTTCGGTATTAAAATCTTCGAAGATCAAAATTTCGAAGCTTCGAAGATTACATTTTATCGCGATATATGTACATTTATAAAATTATATGATAAAATCTGGATAAAATGTTGTAAAATTATGTTGCTAAATTGAAAAATATTTCTAAAAATTGATTTTTAATAATTTTTTAATAATTTATTTTTTAAATAATTTTTTGTGTATATATATTAATTAATTCACTTCTATTTATAATATTTTCAACATTTTTTCAACATTTCTTACATGAATTTGCAACAATATATTTTTCAAAGCTTCGATCTTCAAAGTAACAGCCCTTTTTTGTATATGAAAATTTACATAGTACAATATATATGAGTCATACTTGTGATCAAATTTGAATAAAATTAATAAAAATAATAAAAATATGATTATGTCGAAGCGAATTCGTTGATCATGACTCATAAATCGATATGCTAATACAATATGCCCCAAAGATACAGACACCCCCTCAGACCCCTTTGGGATAGCATTTGGCAAACTTTCCACAATAAAATTAGGTGCATCTGTCCAGTTATCTATTCGAACCCTTGTGCTTTTGTAGAGTCGTCTGCTAAGTCATGTGACGAAAATCACACGATACCTAACTCTCACCCTTTCAAAATATTTTTCTTTATTACGAAATTATTCGATTATTATATAAATTTATTACAATTATTTTATTTACAGAATTTCTTGATTACTCTCGTATTCGCGAAAAATATATTTATATTCACAAATATCGCATCTTTCTTAAAATAAAAATTCAGAAAATCATACATTTTTAAATCAATAGTTTAGAATACATCGTGAATTTTTTAAATTTGAAAATTGCGGAAAGAAATAAAATTGAACGCATGTAGAATTTAATAATTATTATTTCCCGATTATTTCCTCTCTAATTTAAATACCTACGAGACGAGATATGCGGGCCCTAAACCCTGATTTTAAATGCCGACCCTCGCAACGATCTGTCCGCCGCTCCTGGGGTTCATAGTAGTCAGGGGCACGCGATTGCGTGCACAGCTGATGCCCCCCACGCGTGCAAACACTCGACGTACACGCGTCACGCGGGATACAAAAGGTCTGGAAAGGGAGGCGCGTGGGGATTGTGAGAGAGGAAAAGCATGGGGGTGCACTCGGGGCCAGCAACCCCATATGGATTTCAACAGCTGACCGCGCGGCTCATTAATAAAGTACGTTAGAAATATCGTTCGGCGCCCCCATAAATGTATCCGTAAAGCAAAATACGTTACGAACTCGTTACTACCCCCGCGAAGGAAGGAATTGCGTAGATAGGACACCCAATCGGTTTCTCACCCATTTTACACATATGTACGGGATGTTCCGGAAGTTGCAACTTCCTCTCAATAGGAAACAAAGCTATCTTTTGGAAAGAAAAAAAAAAAAAAAGAATCAAGATACTCATGTATAGAAAAGAAAATCTATTAAACATTATTAAATATCAGATTCCAATAAAAATTGAGGAAAAGTTAGTAGAATAAAGTGAATGTAAATCAATGGACATTTTTTCGACTCGCGATAAATTGTACAGCTTTTTGTGTCGCTTTTCGCAATGCGGCAAAAATATAAACAAAACGCCGCATGTTGTGGCACGACGTGAAATGTTTACACGCATATATGCATGCACGACACATGACGAGTCACATCCAGAAATAGTCGCGTCGCGTGGGTGGTGTGCACGGCCGAATAATAAATAGGAGAAAAAAAAGAGAATTAGACTTTGAGATTTATAGCATCTACAAGTTGACTGTGTTGTAACATAAACGTGCATAGAAAATGCATAGAAATCGAAACTTTGTTAGAATATTTGAAACCATGAGAAAACGCTCGTTAATTTCAATCTTTTTGATAAAAATTTTTATATTTTTTTATATTTTTAATTTTAATAAAAAAAGTGATATTTAATGTAAAGAGATATTTATAAAATATAACTTAACTTAACTTTGATATTTTTAGAATTTCGAATATTGCAGTTTTACGTATGATAAATGATTCAAAGTTTACAGTTGCATATCTGTTTTTTTTCTTTTATAAAATTGCCGACATCGCTTATCTCTCAATCGCATTATATCACTCAATTATATATTGACTCAATCTCTTCTCATCTTGGCACAATCGATTAATCGTTATCAAACAAATTTCCAGACAAAGAATGTCGATTAAGCTCGAATTTAGCATTGCAAATCGTTCACGATACACATCGCTCGTACGTAAATATATAAAGTAGTGCCAACAGTGATAATTTTGCGTACAAGAGTGATAACACGTTTATGAGTAAATTGTATATGCAATTATGATTAGCGATACCGTTTTTTCCGCTTTAGGCTTTAGACTTCTTTGCAAATATTATTGCAAGTGCATCGTTGTGCTATGGATAAATAATAATAAAGCATTTGTTTTAAAGATAGAACATACAAGTCAAAATTTAGTTGGTTTACTTCAAAGTTAAAATCTTTATTGAAAGAATTGAAACCTTGACCCTAAGCATATTGCATGAATTTACGCACACATATACGAAGGTTTTTGTCCATCTCGCATAAGTTTGTTGCATTATCTCAAAAGCTTGCGCCACTGTTGTCGTAAACAACTGTTGTAATGCAATATTATTTTGATTGTGTCATCATTTACAACGCAGACAAGCGATTTTGCTTATCTGTAGAGGAAAAAAGAGGAATATATTTATTGCCAATGTCTTTCTTTTTAACGATATCATACGCGATAATGCAGTTTCGATACCTCGCAGAGTTCATCGATAGAATCTCTTGTTGACACATGTCATCGAAAAAGGCAAAAATAATTGTGCACTTATACAAAACATAAAAAATGATGTATACTACAGGAAGTAAATAATAGAAAAAAAATGGGAGCTAATTCAAGTAGATACTTTAGCTGATTACCTCTAGAATATATGGCAATGATATTCAACATAATGAAATAATTATGAAATAATTATGAAATAATAATAATGAAATAATTATAAAAGAGATTTCTAAATCAATTACTATAATATACTAACTCTACTTTATTGCTCGTACATTTGCATCAAGTTTACATATTTTGAGCATTATCCGTAGCCAGCAGAAAATAGCATTGATAAATTTTAAAATATATGGGTGATACGCGCAATTTGTCAATTATCAGGTGCTGATGTAATTATACACCAATTACGGCAATCTTACGACAGAACGAATTGGATTGACCTAGGCTATGCGCTTCCTGTATAAATATACCGAGTAAATTAATCGCGATAAATCCTCTTGAAAATTCCTCCGTAATCTTTCGGCGCGGAATCATTTCCGCAATTCGTGGAATCCGTGTAACAAGTACGACGCAAAATCATGACGTTTCGTGAGCCGAAAGCAGTAATTCGCAGTTTCCGGGATCTATTTCCCGGAAAGAAACTTGCAACGATAAGATATAACTCTTGCATTGATCGTGTCCCTATTATTGTCCCCGTTAGACTCGAAAATTATTTCTATAAAATAAATACAATTTAATATATAAGATAATGATATAAGTAAATATAATAATTCGCGGAATTAAATTAATAAAGGAATCAATTTTCTCTCTCTTTCTTTTCGTCTCTCCCCCCCCCCTCTCTGTCACATATATTTCATTCAACACATTCGACTCCAATGAATCGATGATCAGATATAGATAACAGAGACAATCGGATATTGGACTCGCGCGAGCGAGGACCCGGAGCGAGACAATCACTTCCCGCCGAATCGCCTTTGTCAAATACATTCCTTCGTGCATATGCAATGCAGGTGTAAACAAAACTTTATCTGTACCTGTATCTCGTGCCTCCGCGGCGGCAGATACGCGCTGATGAGTTACGAGTAGATTAGAGAGGCGTTAAAGACCGAGATACACGCCGTGCAATCGAGCGGAACGGACGCGTCGCGTTTCGCCGTGAACTCGCCGACACGCGATATTTCACGGCGAAATAATCGGCGAGAGGCGACCAATCGGGCGGCTCGTCGACGATAACCGGCAGCCGCCGTTAATTTCGCGGCGTTATTTTTACGCGAACGCGTGCGCGCGATCAAACAATCGGAAAACAAACATCGCCCGTTGAATTTATATAATCGACAGAAATCCATCCCCACCGAAGACGCGAAGATACTCGCTTCGCGAGTAAGCCGTAAATAATTTTTATCGCTAGTTTGGCGCGATACCACGACTCTTCTTTTTTTTTCCACGAGAATGTTTGAGATGAAAGCGCCGAATGAGAGCGTACACGGAGAAAAATGTATACTGTATTCGCGTAAATATTATTTATTTTAAGTATATCATAAGTTTATATACACAGAAAAAAAAGAAGTGTCAAATCAAAACTTATATACTTAAATTAACGCGTTCATCGTTCGCAACAATTTATAATCTTCTTCGAAGAATTTAATAATTTTCAATTTCAACAATATTACAGTCTTATTTTAATTTTATAATTGCCATCTTTCTGTCTGTCTGAAAATTCTAATCTTTGATTTAAAAATGTTATTTTCTATCTAACATTGTTTCTTTTCCATTCAAGAAAATTAAATCGTAAGAATATATTTTTCTCGATTAGAACTATATAAAATGGCTTCGTTCAAGTAAGCAATTATTCAAGCAATTATATTTTTCTTTAATTAACGCAATATAATCTCATTTCAAGAATGTCCTTTTTTTCTGTGTATCCGCAAAAATATCACAAGTTTACCACAAGCATTAAATTTAATTGAATATATTCTGAATTTTAGTAAGTGCAGTATTTCAGTCAAGAATATTAAACTAAAACAAAAATTTGGTTTGATTACTACTATTTTTTTTTTATACGACTTTACAATATTTTTGAAGAGAGAATAAATTCTTTTTTCGAGTACATGATAATGAGATTTTCTAACGCTTGTGAGTATTATTTTAAGACTATTATCAAGAATATATTCTTTGTCGAAGAAAACTATAACTTAAAAAAAGAAAAATAAATCAAGTAATCGCTTTTCTTGGCAGGGTGATATCGGCAGAATGGTATTTTTCTCCGTGTAATGAAAAATTACTCGCAGATTGTCGGAAGAAGACATTAAAAACTCCGCCTTGGGAAACAAATACGCGGACTTACCGGTGATCGTGGATTGCTTCCTCGCGACCGAGGGTAGAACGGGGGTGGTCGGCTCCGCCGCGCACCTCTTTCTCTTGGCGATCGCGTCGACGAGAGGATCGGGCGCCGTGGCCTCGCCGATCTCGGGCACCCTGGGCTCCTGGGGCGGCGTCCTCTCGGCCGTCGACGCGGCGCACGTCGGAGTCTCCGTCTGCTCGACGATCCTCGTCGTCGGCATCGTCGTCGGCATCGTCGTCGTCGTCGTCGCGACCACCGTCGTCGGCGACGCCGTCGTCGACGCGTCGTCGGCGCGCGGCACCTTCCGCGGCGTCCCGGGCGCGTGTTTCCTCAGGTAGGGCATCCCGCGGAGGGCGTAGGGCTCGGGGACGACGTCGCGCTCCGTCACCTTCTCCCACTCGTAGCGCGAGTTCTTCCGCGGTATCCCGAGCTTGAACTCGAAGCCCCATCGTTCGGCGTCGAGGAGCGATTGGGCGCGCAGCTCGCGCTCGGCGAGGGCGCGGGCGGCCGCGTGGTCCACCGGCCCGAAGAGATCGCGTCGCACGCGGGCGAGCGCGGCCCTGCTCGGCGGCGCTCGTCCTCCTCCACCGCCGCCGCCGCCGCCGCCGCCTAGATTCCTGCTTATTTCCGTCATCATCACCGGGTTCAGCACTCGTGCGCTCATATTTCGTCGCGCAACGGCAAACGCTCGCGCGCCGTTTCTCTCTCTCTCTCTCTTCCTACGCCCCCGCGCGCGCGGACAACAAATAACACCAAGACCCGGACGAGAACGCACTTGTAACACACACTGTCTCTTGCGCCTTTTGTCCGTCTCTCAGCGCGCTAGATCGGTTCTTCTAGCGATGGCCGTGACGCATCGCGCGTGGGGATGACGATGACTCCTTCCAGGAATCGCTGCCGCCGTCGGGACGTTGGAATCGCGGCTACGCACCGTGGACGGGATGTGGCAACAGCGCGATCCGTGGCGCGACCCACCGAATTTCGAATAATGGCGTAGCTGCCGCCGAGCGTCGACCAGGAGCTCACGGACTCGCCGCGCGACGCGCGTCGGCGCTCATCCTCGCCAAGGAGGGTAAGGGACGGCGACGATGCCCCCGGGTCGGCTTCCTCCGGGGGAGAGCCCGGTATCACGGGCGACGCGTGCGACGGCAAACAGCAGCCGCGCTTGGCAACACGGTGGACACGGTTACTACGTGCCAGACAGAGACGGCGGGCGGCGAAAACAAACTCTCCCTCGTCGCCCCTGGGCAAGACCGTCCGCCAAAGTCACCGCGGGGACGCTCCTGTCGAGGATACCCGCGACTCCTAGTCACTCTATCGGCACTCTTCTCCTCGCGGCACACGATCCTCCGGCGTAGTCTGCGGGAGAATGCTTGATCCGGCAACGTCGCGCGACCGCACTTGCGCGTGAGTATCCGAGCGACGGCCAGAGAACGTGCTACGACATGTCCCGCGCGAATTCGTGGTCCACCGTCGGCGATCGATCTCGCTCCTCTCTCCGTCTCTCTCTCTCTCTCTTCTCGTCCTCCCGCACTCACACGCGGCGAATCGACGCGATAACGCAATCGGTCTTGGCGCGAGAAAATTCCATAGAAAAGCGCTATTGCACACGGCCCGCAGCGATATGCCGATCCGCGAGTGGAAGGGGGGAGCGCCGAACAGAGTCGCCTCTGACACCGCGTAAATAAGCACGTAAATACACGCCTCGCGTTTCCCGCCAAACGCGCGGCTGTCAAGGCACGCGCGTGGCCCACCCGGGTCCGGAAGGACGGTGCGGGGCACGATTGCGCAGTTACGCTGGGAGGTAAACGACGGTACGCGCGCGAGCTGCGACTCACGGAGCTGCGCGGGGACGCGTGGTAATCACGAAAAGCGCTCTCTAGCGACTGAAGCGGACGTCTCGGATTGCGAGCGAGCGAGCCTCCCGCGAGCTCGGCGCTTTCCGTCGTCCCTCGGCTCGCCTCGGCTCGGCGAGTCGTTCCCCCCTCCCTCGCGCCCACCCCGCCGTCGAGACCAATCACGCGACGAGCGGAGAAACGAAATAACCGCCATTCGCGCGGTATAGTCCCCTCGACGCGACTGCGGCTACGTTCGGACCTGGCGGAGCGTGTGCGGAAAGATTGTACAGTTATCGGTCTCTGAAGGAAAGCGAAGGGGGGAAGAGCACGGCCGAGAGAATGCCAATCGCAACCTCTCTCGACGTGATCCAATATTCCCCAGGTCCTCCGCGTCCTCGGAGGGGCGAAATTTTTTCGAGAGCGTCATCGGAGGAGATGACAATTGCACGGTGGGAACGCCGTGAGATAAATGTTCAGCATTCGCGCGTGAGGATTTTTCGCTATGCAAATTGCTAGCGGAATTTATTTCCGCGTCACGAGAGGTGATTAATTTCTCGATTACATCTCAATGTCCTAGAATTTTTAACCTCCTTCTCGCCCGTTCTTTCCTCATCTCGTGTTATTCTACGACGCGATTAACGAGACCGACACGCTGGCTCGGGATCGAAAACACGTCGTCAAATTAATTTAATTGTGACCTTAATTCGTCGCTTTAATTGTCCTTCACGCGCTCGTGCCCACGGATGGCAGTCGCGAAAAGAGAACGGCGCGTCGCTCGAGGGGGGGAGGGGGAGGGGGGCGGGGGCGCAGCGGGAGATGAGGAATAAATAAGTCCGGTCTTTCCAAAACAACGCGACACACGCACAAATCTTATCGCGCGCGTATATTCGGTAGATTTTCATGTTTGCACGACGCGACGCGTTACGCATCGTGAACTTATTTACATACTCCGCTCGGATTATCGTTTTATACAAGACGATAGTGAGGCTCGCGTAGTTCGAAAGTTATATTGAATTCGTTGGTCAAAAAAAAACGTTATCTTTTTAATTTATCTTTTATTTTTTATTTATTTTATTTATTTATTTATTTTACTTGATTTATTTTATTTACTTTACTTATTTTATTTATTTTATGTATTTTATATATTTTATTTATTTTATGTATTTTATATATTTTATTTATTTTATTTATTTTATATATTTTACTTATTTTACTTATTTTATTTATTTTTATATTTGAGACAACAAAGGAAAGAATTTCCGCTAAAGGGTTGCGAAAAATAAAACGCGCAATTTTTGACGCGTCATTAAATTTGCGCAAATTTTATTACTAATATATATCGATATTTTCGATTTAATAATTCACACATTTTACATTCAACTTTAATGTACTTTGAAATCGATCGAGAGTCTAATATTCGGGCAGGGAGAGGGCCGGTAAGTGTGTTACGTGACTTCTTGGAATGGTCTGAAATGTAGGAAAAAATGTGGTTGACGGAATCGCAAAGTTTTAATTCATGAAATGTCGCGCGAAGATTTCGTTACATTTGACGCACGAGGCCGCGAGCGCTTCGCGACGATCGTGCGTCGCAGCACCGAGTGCGATGACACAAAATCAACGAGACGAATCGAGACCTTTTTTCATTGATAATTGTCAATTTACTCCGTTGTACTCGTCTCGCACGCGGCACGCGAGGGGACCTACGGGAAATGACAATAGCATCGCGCGCGCGTTGACGGCGGCGCAACTCGCGGCGAGCGAAGTGTAGATAAACGGATCCTAGAGACCAATTGGAGAGAGCGTTTGCCACGCGGCATTCTCCCTCTCTCTCGCTCTTGATCGCGTTGGTGTGTGTCGGTTCGATTTGCACGCCGCCGCAACACGGCGCGGGTATTTCGAATATTCAAACTGCCATCCTTTCCCACGAAAGTGTCACGAGTAGTAAAATCATCGCACTTATCGAACCATTATACTTTTGCGAAAACCTATAATTTGTAAAATAACTTTGCGTTATCTACATATGGATTAATAAAAGTGCAAATTATTTTTTGCCCACAATATATGATTAATTGTTTTTAATTAATTCATTGTTTTCGATTATAATTGAGAATGAGAGACATGAGAAAACTTGATGTCGGTGCAGCGCGATGCACTCTGAGAAACGAAAATCCCACGCAGCATCCAGGAAGTGGTGAGGGGTGGTACCGGATGCATTTCAATGAGGGGAGACGAGCGAACGAGTTCACGTAAAACAATTCTTTCTGCTTTTGACAGAAAGAGAGAGAGGAAGGGAGAAAAAAAGAGACCATCGGTCTCTCTTTCATTGTCCACCGCAGGAGTGCATTTCAGCGAGGTGTCTGGTTGCACAGGTTGCGCTTTGTAACCCGTAATAAAGCGAAGATTCTACTATCTACTTCCTTTCTGCGATATTTGTTACAAAATATTCGTCAAGGAATTTTTATCAAATATAATCCAAGAGGCTCTCTCTCTTTTACATCCAAATCAGAGCGCGATGCATAATATGGATCGTAATAATTAATCACTGCTTATTATTGTTTTTATTTTGCTTGTTCCTTGATGAAATATTATTTAAAATTCTACCGCTGAATTATCGAGCGCATTATATTGGATATTGACAAAGCTTTTATTTATGTAATCTATAATAAAGCGAAGATTCTACTATTTACTTCCTTTCTGCGATATTTGTTACAAAATATTCGTCAAGGAATTTTTATCAGATATAATCCAAGAGGCTCTCTCTCTTTTACATCCAAATTAGAGCTCGATGCATAATATGCATCGTAATAATTAATCACTGCTTATTATTGTTTTTATTTTGCTTGTTCCTTGATGAAATATTATTTAAAATTCTACCGCTGAATTATCGAGCGCATTATATTGGATATTGACAAAGCTTTTATTTATGCAGTCTCAAAAAATTGCAGGTATCTTTGCGCAAATAATTACTGACAGTTAAGAGAAAATAAATACCTCTCTCGCGTCACGGATGGCGTATATTGCGCGTGTATTTGTAAGGCGGTCAGATTATTTCCGAAGGAAGTTGGTGTTTATTCTCGAGCGAGACGCGCGACCGGAAGACGCACGGCCGCATCTGCGTCGCGTGTTTGTCAGCGAAAGAGTCACCTGTTTCATCATTTTGCTATCAAAGCCAGGCTTACCCTAAGACTGGAGCGCGTTATCTCATCGCGTGCTAGCGGTAACGGGAACAAAGTTGCACACAGTCGCGATAAATCACTTTTATCAAGCTCAAGGTGGATCCAGATCGAGGTTGAGAACGGGTACACTGTTTCGCAGTATCTACAAGTCTACTTTTCCCCGTCGCTATTTGGCGAAATGGAAATCTCAAGCAGGGTAAATCGATCAGTTTATGCACAAACGCCATATAAATTGAAATATTAAAACTGCTTAAAAATCATCATAAATCTCTAATTTAGCTTTAATTTACATTTGTGTGAAAATATCTTATATTTAAACAACGCGTACACACTTTCGTAGAACTTTCAAAGAACGGAGACTTCTTGTCCCGAACGTCTGACATTATTATCCGTTCGCATTCGCGGAAGGTTCTTTATCGGAAGGATTCTCAATGCTTGGTCAGAACAATGTATGTGGTATAGCTCGTACGGCAATATCCTTTGTCGTCGTCGCGATTGTGCCCACTTCCGTGGGAATTCGCAGAACGGAAGTGCAATTTCTGGCTGGTACCGCGTCGTGTCCAGCTTCCACGGCAGCAGCGCGAAAAAAAGCGATCCTTAAAGAAGCGATGCCAGGTGCAACCTGCGTTTTCTCGCGTCTTCTCATGTCGAGTACTCGTGATTTAATTCGACGAAAGCGTGATACTCAGCGTGGGTATCAGTCTTTCTCAGACGGCTAGAGTGCTTTACGAAGAAGGTACAGTCGATGAAAGATGATAATTTGCAATCATGAGATTTTGCAGCTTTTAATTTACAATGCGATTGATGCTGCGAGTTTTCACTCTTTGTTAGAATTGCATTCTAACAAAAAAAAAGTTTTTACTATTAAATTTCAAAAAAAAGTTTATTAAAAATTTATTAATATTAAACTTACTATTAAAGTTGTGCTGCTTATTATCAAAATTTATAAAAAATATTAAAGATTGTCATACTGAATTAATAATTATATAATTTTAAAGATTAAGATGCCTGGCGAGAGAGGGGGAGAGGGAGGGGACAAACGCTTACTCATCTATTGTAGGCAAATATTTCATCTGGGCGTAATGTACATGTATATTAGGTCGCGCAAAATTTACGTATAATGAACGGCAGTAAATATCAACGTCGTAAACTTAGCGCAATCGATTTTTTATTAAATATGTTAATGAAAACAGGAAAGGAGACAAAAGAATTTGGAATACACAATTTTTTTATAAATATTATAGAATATATTATCTTTTTTCATTCTCTCTTCATTATTCTTTTTTACATTCGTCCAAATATATAAACTACAATGAATTATTTATCTTAAATTATATAAATATCAATTGAGTATAATCACGTATATTGCACATAAATATTGAATAAAGTCACAATGTTTTAAAATTAATACAATTGAGTTTAATTAGACAAATTATGCGCGATTTCTAGCCACTTCTTTTTACATATTAGTAAAATTTGAATTAAAATAAAAAATTTTGCTTTGGTTCCTTTGAGATACATCATTCCTTCTCTGACTAGAATTTATAAGTTAAAAATAATTTAGTTTAATTAGTAATTTGTCAATTCAAGAATGTAGTCTTTTATATCACATTTGTTTATAGGACTTTGTCACCCCTTTCTCGCTATTATAATATTTATCGTATAAAAATCTATTTCTTACTAACCTTATTCTAATTTTGGAAAGAAATTTACAAGTAATTTTTATCGTGCATTGAAAATTAATTACAAATTTTGAAATTAAAAATTTATATAATCTTCTTTAGCAGGAACAACAATTTGTCTTGTTGCTGCTATTAAATCTTTACTATTATCTACTATATTTACTATATAATATTACGATTCTTCTAGTCTAGCTCTTTTTCTTGCCTCATCCATTGGTTCATCATTTCTTCTTCTTTCTGTTTCCTCTATTTGTTCTTCTTGCTCATTTGTATTTTGTACTTCATTAATTGAATTTATGGAACTCGGAATTTCATTCCCGTGTTCGTCTAATTTTATCCATTGATATCGGCCAGGTAATGGCACTCCACGCTTAAAATCAAAGTTCCACTTTTCCTTATCCTGCGCATCAACAAATATCAACATTTAAAATTATTTTAATCGATGTCTGATCTACTTAGCATAAAATTACGTTATAAATATATAATTTATATTTAATTGATGAAAAAAATAACTTTTATAAACGATTCTCTTTAAATTAATATAGCAAAAAATCGTTCATTTTCTTACCCTTTCTGATTGTTGTAAGTTGTCTTCCATAATTAGATTGTCATAATTTTGTCTCTCATCTTCGCTCTCATTTTCATCTGTAAAGAGTTGTCTACGAACGTTTCTTTCATTTTCCGATGCATTTCTTTCCATCGTCAACCGGGCTCTTGTAAGAAAAATTAAATTTCTATTGATAAAAATTTTCGAATTTAATCTTATATTTATTTAAATGATTGTTCATATCGAAAAACCTTTTCTTTTTCAATGTTTTTTATCATTCTTATAATTTTGATTTACGTAAGAAAATAAATTTTATCTTGTACGGATAGTTCCTACGAGTTTTGTGTGTGCAATTTTTTTACCAAATATAAACACAAACTAATCTTTTATAAATATTGTGGAGAAAATTGATACGTAAATTAATTTTGTTTACATTTTTACACAATGTACCAAACTTATAAGAATGAAAAATTATAAATCTACTGTATTAAAAATGTGCAATTTTTTTATTCTGTACTTTTCTTATTTTTTCTTGTTATATATTATTTGCTTACATCATATATATATATACAATATATATATATATATATATATATATATATATAATTTATATAAGAAAATTAATTATGTATAATAATGTATAATATTTTTGGTATACTTCAAAATTTGATTTATTTTAATTATTTGAAATTGTCACAAATAAAGTTTCTAAAGAAAATTTATCAATAAACTTACTTATTCTCTAATAAAATGCTTACATTAGTTGGCTATGAAATTACTACTGGCTAGAGGTTTCTCTACCGTTGAAACAAGTAAACTTGATGATAAACTTTTCAAAATAAATATCTACAAAGATGTGTTTGAAAACACAAGTTATAATGATATTGTTAGTGTCTCATATCCGATTATAGCGAATATATTCAAAATATCAAAACAAAATTTTGTCGTTATTTCAGTTGTGATTGCAGTGCATTTTTATTTTGTTTATCGATCATTCCAAGAAAATTATTATGCATGCACATACAATCAGAAGTTCAACAATATCCTTCTGCATAAAACTGTTAAACTACCAGGAAAATTCTTTGCAGAATAACAGTACTCGATATTAATCATTGATACGCCGCGAGTTATGGCTGTGAGCTACATGTGATATTACATGTTTTATAAATAAGATGACATGCATCAAGAGTCGAGGTAAGAGTCTATCTATACGTCAAAACGGTAAAAGAGGGAGAACAGAAAGAGAGAGAAAGAGATTAGCAGCATTGTCGGTCAATATGCCGTTGGACGGATGTGTTGGAATGCATTATATTTCCGGTACATACGATTGCGGGCACATATATACCGAAAGCTGTTTGTTGCTTTTGTGTATCATTCTTGAAATCGCCTTTTGATATCGCTGTGTGATCTTATTAGATATTCTGCATGATAAAGATTTTAAAATTGCTTCTTCACTATACGAGTATTTAATATACAATATTTTGCATATAATTAAAGAGCTTTTATTTTTAAATCATTTTGAATTCATATTTAAAAATAAAACTCATGGAAAGCTTTGTAAAAATAATTCTCAATTTTTACAGATGTGATAGATTATTTCTAAAAATAAATTTTTTATAAATTGCATACACGTTTGTATAACATTTGTATAAATATGCGTCAAAAAATTAATAATGTCCTACTTTATCTCTCTTTGCATCACATAAGATAATTTTCTATTTTAATTGGCATACGTTCTCTTTCCTTTAACGAGCGTCGTAGAGGCATTTTCTGAGGCCAATAAGAATTAAACACAAATTCTCAAAATTATCTCAGAATCGAAGATAAAATTTTTTCTCTCTTATGTTCGCCCTCTAATGATCGCGAATCGAATTCTGCATTTTGTACGCGCGTTCTTTAACTCTAAACTGGTTTGATCGGTTGGCTTTCTCTGGGGACATTAACAAGCGAATTCTGCGTTATTCGCATAATTACTATAATGTACTTTGGTGTAAATGATATAATCAAGTGCATTAATTCCGCCGATTATACGATATCGGAATAAAAAACGAAATATGGTGCCTCCCTGCATCGGGTCGGGCTACATCGGGCGGGTTAATGTACTCGTACGTGCTTTCGTTTCCCGACATTTCGGCCACACTTATACGTACGTGAATCGGGAAGATAAATGGATGCTGCGCGATCCACGAATCAAGGTGTGATCCGTAAAAGAGGGGAAAAAAGAGAGAGACGAATAAAAATGCGTACGCATTGTTGAAATCACTCGAATGGCGTCATGCCGGGTTCGCGATCATCCGATTCTCGACATAATATATTGTCACGTCGTATTAACTCGAAAATCGCAATCGTCCGAGAACAGCATTTCTTTTTCTGCGACTACCATGTACTTTTAACGATCATCCAATTATTGCGGATTTATTGCTGGCATAAATTGCGCGCACCGTTTATTTGGTCGTCTTAAGTTGACAACAGCGATTTATTTAGAGCACTGCACAGAGAAAAATATCATTCTACTGTCAAGAAAAGCGATTACTCAGTTTATTTTTCTTTTTTTAAGTAATAGTTTTCTTCAACAAAGAATATATTCTTGATAATAGTCTTAAAATATACTCATCACAAGTATTAGAAAATCTCACTATCATGTACTCAAAAGAAAAAATTATTTTCTCTTTAAGAATATTGTAAAATTGTATTAAAGAAAAATCAAACTTACTTTACGCCAAATCTTTGTAGTAAGCAAATTTTTGTTTTAATTTAATATTCTTGACTAAAATACTTATTAAAATTATTAAAATTCACTTATTAAAATTCAGAATACATATATTCAATTAAATTTAATACTTGTGGTGAACTTGTGATATATTTGCGGATATACAAACTTATGAAATACTTAAAATAAATAATATTTACTTGAATACAGTATACATTTTTCTCTGTGTGCATGTCTGCCAGCGAAGCTAACTGCCATATTAGAAGCCCTCGTTTGAAATGATATCTTGCGCAGCTTCGATTGTACAGCATGAAATTATGAATATTTATTTTCTACATTTACCTTTTCATTTTTTTAATGTAGAAAAAATTACTTTATTATTCCTATAATTAATATAGTCTCTACAATTACTATAACTTTTACAAAGCATTATATCCAAATAGCTGTATGGATCCAGAGTCCCGTATTGCGAATTGTTTCCTCGCACATTCCGCTTATATATTATGCCTATAGTCTATCAAACAGGTAGTACGGGTTTACACGGAGGTACACGCCTTTCCCTGACCCACTTACTCATTCAGCTATTCTCAACAAATGTCAAATTGCACATTTAATTTCTCTCTTTCATCATATTTTCTATTATCACGTGAGACACTAATATTACAGTTTATCAAATTACATACGATAACAATAATCTATTTTAAATTGAGGAATCGAAGATTTTATAGTTGAAATGCATATAATGTAAAAAATTTTATATATAAGCATTGCAGTTAATATCTGCAGTATAACTTCACTGTATAACTTTTGCAAATTTTATTTTTCACATTATGCTATTCTTATTGATCTAAAGCTGCATCAGAAATGCTAGCAACAAAATAAATATTCATCGAAAGAAAGAGAGGAAGGTATGAATTGTAAAAGTAATTAAAAAACAAAAGAAATTAAGCCATCATTGAAGTAAATTCAGCTCAATCTGTTCACCTACTCACTTCCTCGGGGTGTTTTTCATTTGGTCTCTCACGAATATATGCACGTATACGTATGTGTGTGCATATAAGAACGTTGATAAGGTATCGACTGTTATCTGGTATTAATTACACAGACGAGCGCACTCAATCGAGATCACTTTTGTTGCACTTGGTAATTGCACGCGCTCATTTATCTCGTCTTAGCACGTGCGTCTCGTCTTTCTGTTTAACGTCGACTTTAGTCGGTCGCCAGTTTGTACGGCTACACCGATCAATAAGTACGTTTTCGTCGGGGGTGTGGAATTTAATGGGGTGGTTTGGTGCGCGCGCACATTCTGTGACGAGAATTCTGTCAATACGTATTCGCACATACGGTATCAATGGTAAAAATAACGCCAATTAATCGGGAATTTAATTGGAAACTCATGCTCGAACGGCAGGCTTCTCAGATGATCGAATAGTGACATTATTAATGGGAAGATTTTAAAAAATGGATCTAACAATATTTACACAACAGTTAATACGCGCGAATAATTTAATTATGTTTTAATTGCAATTTTTTAAATTTATTCTCTTTGGATTTATTTTAAAAATTATGATCCTCAGGGCCATTTATTTATTAGCCGAACAGAAAGACTGCCGTTTATGCGGCGAAGGAAAAGAGGACAGTATTCACATTCTGTGTCACTGTCCTGCTCTCTTGCTCTTAGGAAATACAGATTCTGGGATTTGTGTTTCCAGAACCCAGCGATTTGCAAAAACGTGAGGGTGGGATCTATACAACCTTTTTGTAAGGTTGAAATTTGATCGTACTCATAACCTTAATCAACTACGGAGGTTACAAAATTTTTAGATTCAGGTGACAGTAGATTTAGGTCCCACTTTTTACTACTTCTATTTTAAAAATATTTTTAAAATACTACTTTTTTTAATTACATATCTTTTTAAATACATATTTAGCATTGGTTTTCCAATGTAAAAGTCGGAATCAAACAACATGTGAAAAAGATTTTTGCGTCGAAGACAGTAATAATTAACCTATTTTCCACATTTTCAATCAATCACTTGAAACTCACTCAATTGCTAAAATATCCTAGGATGCAAGTAGTATCTCTCTGCAACAATATTTATGAGGGCACGATATGCTAAATGAAGGTGTTCGTCGACTTGTCAAATAATGGAGGCCGCGTAATAGCGCTCGCGAAACCCGGGATGCAACTAATCCCCCAAGGTAAGACTGGCTGCATCTAGACTAGTCACTTGCTGCATCTCGGTTGCAGCTGACTAGCCTAGATTCGCTTAGACCCCGCGTACGAATAGCCACGAGAAGCACGACAGTGCGAACGACACGCATGCGCGAGGCGACCCGTTAACCGCACGTTTTATTCGCGCGGTCGTTCATCCCGCGAAGAGCAAATTTATATCGGCCGACAACGATGGATGATATCCTTCCGTGAAAATACCCCCGGATGTTCCGCGAACTTTATTACCGTCGGGACAAAGGGTAGGATGAGGGATTAGCGAGAAACTCGCGTTGGACCACCTCCGAGAGGCGCGATGGGAATTATCGTGTCGCTTGGTGCACGTATTTCCGTTCCGGCCTAATGTCTTCTTTCGTAGAATCGTCTGGACGGAATGGAACGTAATTAACGATGCACATCCGCAACGATGCCATAACGATAACGCTTTTAATTAATAGAGCCGTTATCGGCTCAAGCTCAAGGCCCAAGGTTGCAGTTTTCTAAGAAGCGTCTGACGTATTTATGATCGACGAAAGAGAGTAACGTGATCGCTTTACCGTATATCGGCTCGTAAAATCCGATATGCGTGCCCCGATCGAACGCAACGCGAAGATTGCTCTGACTCATTGTATCATATTGAAACGCAATTCGCGATAAGATGCACAACTGGATGAAAGCTTCGTGACAGTTGACCTTTCCTCAACTCGATCAAAACAAAACGAGAAAGGATGATTATAACATCTGCGTAATTTAATTTACTTTAAATATTTTATCTGTAACTAGTATAAGAGCTGATGTTTTCGAAAAGATAGTGATTAAAAATAGGTTTAAATCTTTAAATTGATACATTAAGTGAAAATTTATTTATTACCGATGTCTGTGATATAACGTTCGATTCCTATGCTCTTAGAATTTTTTTTTTCAAGATAAATAGCACAATGATGGGAAGTGCGACGCTGAGGAATTCTCACACGCACGCACACATACGCGGATACGCTCGTACAATCGTCTCTGAAACGCAACTTCGGAAACGTTGTTCGATTCTTTCTTGTTTCCTTAGACTCGGCATTAGGGTTGTCGTATCATTAGAAAAGTAAGAGTTAATTCTTTTATTGATACATTCGATATTTACTGTATCGATACGACACGATCGATATTTTTTATGTATCGATACTTTATTCAACGACATGTATCGGTATATCATATCGATACATATTGTTGACTAAAGTATCAATACATAAAAAATATCGACCGTATTATATCGATACAGTAAATATCGAATGTATCAATAAAAGAATTAACTCCATAATATATAGAAAAAGAAAAGAAATTATTGATTAAAATAATTAACATTGCTTAAGGCCTTTGCACGTGCAAAAATTTTAGTTGTAAGAAAACTGACCAATCACAGTTGATTATTCTTTTATCGCAGGAAGACTATTCGATTAATAGCGTTTTCGATTGCTCAGGTTCAATCGCTCCGGGGTAGTTTATTAGACGTTATTGAC